TCAATGGAACCAACAGGATACAAAGTTGATCAAAAAACATTTTTTGAATTTTAAAAATCAAAAGTAGAAATAAGTTTAGATAAAAGTTATATCAACAATTCTATTGCAATAAATGAAATTGTATTTTAATGAGATTACTGTTTGGAAGTATTTCCAAACACATTGATAAGAGAAAAAAAGTTGAAATTACATCTTCTACATTATTATTAACTATTAGTGCTCTGTATTATTCATTATTCTTCCCATTCCACTGCATTCCTTTTCAAAGCTCCTCAACTCCCCTTTTTCAGTCAATACATATATATATATAATAAGTGACATATAATAATATTGAATAAAAATATATATGATATGCACTCTGTCTGATGTTATTATTCAAATCACATAAATCTCAATAACTTGTTTTGAAAATTTTTGTTAAATTTTAAATGATTAATTTAAATGTCAAAACAAAACTTCATTTTAATTTTTAGATAGTTTCAATATTTTATTCAAGTTATTGAATTTATTATAAAAATTGAAGTCTGAAGTTATTATGCAAAAGCAGAAAATCACTTTTTAATTTGATAACAAGATAATAAAATCATTAACAATCAGTCAACACCATAATAGAAAAAATAACAAATATATATGATAATTCTTTGAACCATTTACATCTTAATATAGTGACACTTTTCAATAACAGCCAACAATCGATTATCTATTGATTTTGTTCTCTTCCCAATATGGTGGTTTTAATTGTTTCCCATATGTCTGCTTTGCTACCATATTGTTTACCATCTCCATATAATTTCATTATCACAAATTGACCATAGATTTTCAATAGGATTTAGATTGGGGCTTAATTGTGGCCATTCCATTATCTTCTCTCTTGTAAGTCTTTTACATTAAAAAATTCACAGACAACTTTAGATACATGAGAAGGAGCATTGTTGTGCATAAATACATTCTTCACTTTGAAACAGTAAGGCTTGGACTTGTAGCATTCAAAAAATGTCTTACCCATGAAATCACAATAGTTTGCACTGTTCAGTTTAACTCCTTCATTGACTTTGAACGGTTCAATAATGGTTTGGTTGACAATTCCAGCTCATATCACTACACTACAACCTCCTTGCCGCCTTTATTTTAGACTCTATCCTTTGTCCTATCCATCAGGTCCATTGAATGTCACCCGAGGTTTGTCCATGAAAATTACTTTAGAAAAGTCAATTTTCAGAAGGATGCTGAGAATAATATAGATTATTTGAGCAACAACAAAGTTTTAGAGAAAATGGAAATAAAAAGAAAACTTATACTTAACATCAAGAAGAGAATGTTGAAATTTCTAGAGCAAAGAAAGAGGTCTTAGAAAATCTGATACTCACAGGCAAAAGGGACAGAGAAAAACAATGCATAACATAGTGAGCTTGAGTAAATGAATGGCAGAACAAGGTTTAGGAGAAATAACAGAAACATAAAATTTGTTAAGAGCTACAAGGGACAGGAAATTATGGAGGTGCCATAAATACCTACATCCTGAGGGTACATGGCACATAAAGAAGACTGGTTGCTCATGTCCTAAAGTAATGTGGCATATAGAAGAAGAAGAAGAATGTGATAATAACACAGCAATAGCTTGCATACAGATTGCTAAATTAAAAGGAATTTTAATAACACATCTTACAATAAATAATATGGCTTATGGCCATATCGCATTGAAGCACCAAAGTTAAGCAATGTCCATCTTGTTCAGTATCTAGATGGGTGATCACTTGGAAATACCAAATGCTGTAAGTTTGGATGGGCAGGCAGTGTAATAGATAATTGCCAGGAATTGTTAATCAGAAAGTCAAGTTCCAACTCAAGTTGGATTTGTTATATTCACTTACACACAAATTCCTTTAGAAAAGTTATGGATCCACCTCTTCTCCCCCCAACTATGGGTTAATTAGTAAGACATGTATCCCTAAGTCATTATTTCACAAAAAACAAAAATTCTTACAATTTAAATATATTTTCTGATTTTAAATAACCCAGCAAAAGGTTGATAAGATGTAGAAAACAAACCAACCAATCAATGCAATACTGATTACCTACACAGTCATATTTTTTAGATTTATTTACATTCTATGGAATATAAAAGAATAGAAAGTACCATATCCATAAAGTGAGGGATCATTTTGTATATTGATTCTAATATAGAATTTATCCCCTACTTTATATCCACATAATAATTTCTTGTTTGGTTATCAAATTCTGATTAGGTACGAATCCACCTCTTCTCCCCCAGTTATGGGTTAATTAGCGTATCACTAAATCATTATTAGCTAAAAAGAAAAATTCTTACAATATTCTCTGGCTTTAAATAACCTGCAAAGGGTTGATAAACTCTAGAAGATGAATGATTAAAAAGAAATAGATAATAGGCTTCTGCTTGCAATTTTCAATCTAAATTATTGGAAATCTGTCTATTGCCAGTTTTGCATTGATTTCTAATTATATCAATCTTTTTATAAAAATCAGTTTTACTTTATTTTTTTCTACTTGTTTTACAAGGTTTAACATGATTAGTCTGTGAGGACTGCAATGGCCACAATTTACTTCTTACTTTCTAAATCAATTACTGATCTCATTTTTCTTCTCTTTGTGCCATTTATTATTATTATTATTTTACCCAGAATTAATGTATATTAGTAAAATCTTCAAATTATATTTTGAAGGCACTGACAAGAAATATTTTTTGTTATAAGATATTACAGTATTTCTGCATCTGTTCCCTCTTAAATTATAGCCAAGTTGTCTTGCATAGATTTTCAATATTTCAAGCTTATGACAGCAATTAGTTACTCAAGTTAGAGCAATTTGAATTTGATATAGTTAAGTCTTAATGAGAAGAAATTTTTATGGTAACAGTGGTAATGGATAATAAAAGGTGTTCCAATAACTTGGACTGATTTTAATGTAAATTAAGTTTAAGCATCTAATGATTTTTTTCTTTTTCTTTCAGATTTAACAACTTAAGTCTTTGGCAATTTCAACTATGGAAAGATTAACATTCAAACAATATGTTAAAGTTATCGAAGCCTATTACAAAATTCATTTCTTTATAGTAGAACTAGAGCTTGTTGTCTTTTTGTTTTTTTTTTTTATAAATGGTATTCCAATAACTTAGATCGATTTTAAATGTGGATTAAGTTTAAGCATCTAATGATTTTTTTTCTTTTCTTTTCTTTCAGATTTAACAACTTAACTCTTTGGCAATTTCAACCATGGAAAGATTAACAATCAAATAACTTGTTAATGTTTCAAGAGTGCAACTGGAGAAATTGTTTGTAAATTCAAACAAACTGGGTCGATGGCAGATCTTTAAAAAAAACATTGTGTGCTTGTTTACATCTTTCAGCTGAAAATATTGCTGCAGTGCACAAGAAAGTGGTTGAAAATTCAGACACCTCTATTCCTTATCGCATGCAGGAATTGAACCTCTCCACAATGTTACATCGTTTCCAATTGCACTCTCTTTTGATTGATTATCTTGACCAAAAAATCATGAAGTGTGCGAAATGCATTTCTGTTTCAACATCCATTTTCATAATAGGCTTTGATAACTTTAACATGTTTTTTGATTGTTTATCTTTCCATGGTTGAAATTGCCAAAGACTTAAGTTGTTAAATCTGAAACAAAAAGAAAAAAAATCATGTAAAGAAAAAATGTTAATCCTTGTCTGTTGGAAGAGAGTTTGTGGGGTTACTCACATCATACCAGCAGAGATAGCTTTGTGTTCACAGGAATAAAAACATACACTAAAAGCATGTTAAATTGTAAATTAAAATCATATAATTTTATTTATTTTGTGTAGTGGTGTGTGTGTATTTTAGTTATATGTGTTTTAAGGTTGCATGTGATAAAAGGAAGAAAGTCACTTTGTCTTACAAGCAAAGTGCCAAGGAGATGGATGTCTTGACTCTCTGAGGATCAGTAGTGAAGTGAGTGAGTTTGGCATTTTTTGATGCAAAGTATTGGTTTTCAGGCAGGAAAAGTTTCTGTTGCATGCTGGGAGAACTTTTATTATTTTGTTTTTATTTATTTTATTTTTTATTGTTATTTGTTTTATTTTATTTTATTTATGATATTTATTATTATTATTATTGTTTTATATTTTTATTTATTAATAATAGTATCCCAACAAGTACCATAGGTGAGAAGCACAGAGAAGAGACCATTAGAATAAAACTTATGGTTATATTTAACAATTTTGACAGCAAAATGATGAGACCTAACTGCCAATCTAATACTACACTTAAATTCATGAAAGCATGCTTCCAAAGAGGAAAGCTCATCAGAACAAACACCATGAAAATATTTATAGAAAAGGAACAGGGAAGCTGTTATGCAATGGGAAAGTGATTGAAGCCAAGATGCTGAGTCAGGACCTATAACATTGCAGATTCTTCTTTGGATTTTGTCAAGAATCTCTAGATATGTAGTAGAATCACCAGCACAGATGTGGCAATGATTTTCAATGCACTGACAAATGGTAGACTTATAAAGGTGTAAGATAAATTCTGTTGAGAAAAATTGTTTAGCACAACACAGTGAACCAACTTTTGTAGTAGCAGACTTAGCAGTTACCTCGATATAATCATTCCTTTTCATACCAGTGAAAAATGTTACACTGAGAAAGTGCAAGAAGGAGTTATTCTCCTGGAGGTCAGCATCAGCCATTCTGACAGAAGACAAAAAAAGATTCTCTCATTCAATTAAGAGAGTGTAGTTTAGTTTTGGAATCATTAAAATGAACAAGCCATTTTTTGCCTCAAAACAACAAAATTAACTACTTCAAAGGAGATGGACAAACTAGATATGAGAGAAAATAATATTTTCTTACTTATATTGTACATATTTATATTTTAATATACTATTTTATATACTGGGTGTCCATACTTAAAGATAAGAACCAAACAACAGCAACATGGGATTGATCTCAGCCCCTGAAGTAAAAAGTAGAAGACTAAGATCAACAATAGAGATAGAAAGGGAAGCAATGGGTTAGCAATCCTGAGGTGAGGAACAAGTGACAACTGTGGATAGGGTAGATATTCTGTGGGGACATTTGCCGCCATGAAACAGTGGGCAGGCAGATAGCTAGATAAAAAGTTAATGAACAGACTGAGATAGATAGATAGATAGATAGATAATAAACAGATTGAGATAGATAGATAATAAACAGATTGAGATAGATAGATAATAAACAGATTGAGATAGATAGATAATAAACAGATTGAGATAGATAGATAGATAGATAGAAAGATAGATAATGAACAGATTGAGATAGATAGATAGATAGATAGATAGATAATGAACAGATTTAGATAGATAGATAGATAGATAATGAACAGATTTAGATAGATAGATAGATAATGAACAGATTGAGATAGATGGATAGATAGATAATGAACAGATTGAGATAGAGGGATAGGTAATGAATAGACTGAGATAGGTAGATAGGTAATGAACAGACTGAGATAGATAGAGAGATAGATAATGAACAGACTGAGATAGATAGATAGATAGATAGATAGATAATGAACAGACAGAGATAGGTAGACAGATAGACAGACAGATAGATAGATAAAGTAACTACCATATTTAAAACCTAAAATAGAAGAAAAGCAGGAGGATATATAAATAGAAATGCCATACTAACAAATTAAACAACTTCCTATCTCTAAGCAATCTTTGTCTCATTAGAATCTCTACCAGTCCCTGTTCTGTCATCCATTTACACAATTTCATTATATTAATTACTCACTGTTTCTTTTTTGTTTTGTTTTTTCAGGACATGGGGGGATCATGGCTCTCCACAACTTCCTATCCTTTATAGCTCTAAGCAATGTTTGCCCCATTACTATCCCTCCCATTTCCTGTTTTACCATCCATTTACACACGTTCAGTAAGTAGGTTACTTAATGTTTCCTTCTGTTCCTCTTTCCTTTCAATATGTCCTGTAAGATTCAACAGATGAGCCACCATTTTCAGAGCAAATATACAAGATTTCATGAAAAGTTTGAATAGCATTTTGACATATTCTTCAATGAAATTCTTTAAATCTGAACATGTTTTGGGTTTTCTGTTGTAACCAAATTCTTAACTTAATATGGCCTCAGATAAACAAACGAAAATAGATGCATGCTATAAAAGAACTTTTCTGACAAAATCAATGATATCCCTTTCCGAGATTGAGCTATTGATTTTGTAATTTTCTATTCAAAACATGTGAGTAATGTGCAGGTACCCCTCCCTGCTGAAAGATCTTTGTTCTGTTTGGTTTGGTTTGTAGCATATCAGTCTTTTCCAGGTTATGCTGAATTCTCTCATTTTAATAAACAATAGATAGGTAAACAGAGCTTTGGTTTGCACACGTGTTTAAAAGGTAGATACAGCTTTGGTTTGCATATGTGTTTAAAAGGTAGATATAGCTTTGGTTTGCATTTAAAAAAATGACTCCACAGATGGAAATGAAGTTCAGTGAAATTTTTCTGTTAAATTGTAAGTCACCCAAACATAGTGATTCACTTATACAAGTATTTTCAAATGTCTTACAATGCTCACCTGAGATATATGGATTATTTCTGCAATGTCCCATGTCATTTGATCTGGATTATTTTCAATTAGCATTTTGATTTGGCCATCATCAATGACTGCAGGCCTGGCAGAACATTCTTTGTCTTTCAAAACAAAATTTCCACTTTTGAGTGTAGTGAAGTCAGTTATGTGCCATACATGATACATGCTTAGGCAATCATGTATCTTTCGATACCTGACTGATGAGGCAGATTTTTTCCCACAGTAGGTTGCCATTTCTTTCTGCAGTAGACCAGTTGCCATCCAAGGCTACAGAACCCACTCTGTTCTGTTATTTACCCATAGCTGAGAGGAGAAGAAGAGGATTCATACCTTTCCTAATGATATTAGCCTGTAAGTGAATGTAATGGATTTGACTGGAATTCGAACTCGTCTCTCTGATTTCTCAATCCGAGCTGCTATCCATTACCACCATGCCTCCTATAGTGATGTAACTGTTCGTAATGCATCTCATTTTCATCCATTTCCATTTTTAAAGTAAAAACATAGTAAAAATCACAATCTGCATAAAATTAAAATAGGAAGAGACATTGAAATGTTACCTTTCAGAATATGTGTATATCGCTTTTATAACATTGTGGACTGGCACTGCAAAATCATAAACAAAGAACTATACCAAATAACAGAAACCACATCACTTAAGGACTACCAACAGCAGCAACAACTAAAATGGATAACACAGGTAACTCAAAGAGAAAACAATGACATAATCAAGATGTTGACATTCAACACTACTTGAAATAAAAGGCTAGCAAAGAAACCCCCATCAATAATGGAAAGAGTGATAACAGCTATTGGACTTGAGAAACCTGTTTTCCTAAAAAATTGTTTTAAGAGAAAGATTTTATAAATTTCAACTAAAAGCAGAACCAGCTGCTTGGTTAATGAATGTCAAATAATAATTACCATTACCATATATGTCATTTCAGTCATGTTTCAAATTAAATCATGTGTTCAAATGCCACTTACTGAACAATACTGCAAACTTTTGTTCCAACCCAATATCTATCTTTCCTAATCTGTTCATATCTATTTTGTCATCATCAAATTTTATATATTTATATTTCTTATCAAAAACTATGTTCATTATCCATCTCTCTCTCTCTCATTCTCCCTCTCTCTCTCTCTATATATATATATATACATATATGTGTGTGTGTGTGTGTGTGTGTGTGTTCATTATCTATCCTTCCATCCATTTATCTATCTTCCTTATCCATCTATAAGTATAAGCAGTCAATCGCTGATACACCCTGACTAGTGGATGGTGCAATTCCCAGAGAGTCTGTCTATGAAACTCTGGAGTCAAGATGCTGAAGGTAACATCAATCAACTAAGTGACAAACCTTTTACTTTGATATATAGATAGACAGAATTAATATATGTTCATTATCTATCTATTTATCTATGTATGGTCATTATTTGTCTATGTATCTATCTGTACATTATCAATCTATGTCAGTCTGTTCATTATCTATCTGTTCATTATCAAGATGTCTCAGTCTCTTCATTATCTAAGGTTGTTCATTATCTAACTCAATCTCTTCATTATCATAGTCAAAAGATATTAACAACTGTTTTCAGGACACAATTTCTGGGTGGGTTTTTCTCCCCTCTACACCAGTCTCTCGGTATTTTTTGTTCTCTTTCCTGTATCTGCTTTGCCATTCATTCCACCCCTGCCTGTCACAACTGTATGTATGGTATGATGTACCCCGAGAGAGTGATGTCTCATTTCCATGATGGTCTATTTATAATGGGAAATCACCAATCACCTGCTTGGATGATAGACTCATGATTCCATCTAACAACATGCCCTCCTGATCTCTATGATCACTTATCCCACAATATAGTCACTTGTCCAACCAGGAGGATGCCTTTCCATTTGTGATCTTTGTATGATCTCAGTTTGAAGGTCCACATTCTGGTCATGGTTACTGGCTTGATGGTCTTCCTTCTGCTCATGGTCATTGGCTTCATCTTTGATAACCTGTCATACATCCAGAATATGTCATGGAATACTGTCAACTGACACATTGTTCCACAATTGAATGTCAGTCACTGTGCCATCTTCCCCAGCAAGTGGTGCAGCAAGCATAAGACAGTTTGACCCACACTTCATCTCCAATTCTTATATTAGTCGGTTCCTCTCCTGTGACTCCTGACCCTACTCTTGGATGCTGCCACTCATATTTGAAAACTTCTCTCTACAGTACAGAATCTGCATCCTGGCCTGTTTTGGGCAACATATACCAAAAGACAGCTTCTTGTGATGAAATTTGGCTTTTTTTCAGCTGCAGCCTTAATTGTCCAGTGATGTCTTTGGACAACACCATTCCCACTCAGCCTGGAAACTGCTCTAAAGAAATACCTCCCCCCCACTTCTTTAACATTTCCTTCAAGGCTGTTGAATAGGAGGCAGTGCTGTTGTCCATTAGCACATCACTTAGCGGACACCTCTCCAAAAACACCTCCTTGGGGACCCTTGCTATCTTGATTCCATTTTCTGCTCTAATTTCTCTCTTTACAGCCACTCATTTGGGTTCACAATCAATCATCAACAGGTATAGTCCCTGTTGATAATGATTCACATCGATGGCCAACCGGGTCTTATCTTCCTCCACCTGAAGATCACCCACTATATATCTAATTGGGGCCAGACTTATGGACTGAAACTTGCAGCATTTTTCCACCAACACCTTGACTGCCTTCTTAGTTATGCTGGGAACCACCTTCTTAGCCAAAACAGAGTTCTGCTCTGTCCAAAATGGTGCATGTCATGGAGCTCCTTCAGTCCAACTACAGCAGCTGTTTCTGTTCTTTTTATTTATGGGTTTGTTCAGAAACTGAAGCCAGGTTTTCTTCACTCTGATAATTGTATCCACTCTATTCTCTAATGGCTCAAATATGATGTTCAGCTTCAACTCAATCTCTTCAATAAATGCTTGAAGAGTTCCTACCCGTAGCTTCACAAGCACCACATTGGCTCCCTTGGTTTTCACCCTCCTCTCTCTGGTGATTTCTGACCTGACCCATGAAGCCACAGTGACCGAGTTAGTTTTCACTTCAGTTTTTTGCAGTTCCTGTGGGAAAGGGTTTGTAGGGTGGAAAATAATTCATCACCCACAAGGCCACAAAGATGATTTTGGATTCTGCCAAGCCTGGAGAGTGAAGACTGGGCAGTTTCAGCACAGATATGGCAGCAGTACTAGTTACAGTATAAACTACAGGTTTTCTCTGTGGGTTTTGGAGAAAGATAAATTGAGCTGAGTAGATGAGCATGCTCAGAAATGAGCATCTGTGCTGAGGATGCCTTCAAGTCAGCTCCGATGATAATGACTTCCAATTTAATTTCCAAATTTTATTAACAAATCTGAAAAGCCTTTGGTAGTGAAACAAATATTTATGGATTTGCTTGTCTTCTAATAGAAGACAAGCAAATCAATTACATTCAGCAGATATTTATGAATTGCTTTGTATCAGAACAATAAGACTTACCCAGAGTAATAAAACTATTATGGCACTTAGCAAAAAACTAACCAATCATTGACAAGCTTTTTAATCACATGATCATACCTTTGAATTTACTGAAAATATTGCATTTTACCAAAGAAATGGCAAGAAAGAAAAGCAAGATGCATTCTAGAACAAACCAACAATGGACACTTCCCGCCAGCTGTCATGTAGGTTTTTTTTTTTTTTAATTTTTTTGTGAACATAGTTTATTAATTTATTAATTGTTGTTTTTCTTATATTTTGATATTCCAAATTGAAAGTGATTCTTTCATTCTTTGGTTGTACATTATTCTTAGCATGGCTGGCAGGCAGCTGAAGAAGACAAAGAAAAAATCAGAAACTGTGGCCTTTTTCTTTGCTAGTGTTACTGTTCTTGTTTCACATACCTGTGCTTATCTACCTACTTATTTACCAAAACTTACCTCCTATCCCCTGTTTCAGGTAGAATAGAATTATTTATTTCAGCCAATGAGATTGTATTGGCAACAAATCAAAAACTGTAAAGAGTAGTTTTACAGCCTATAATGGTGGGGTTTCCTTTACATAAATCATTAGTTAATAAACAAAAGTATTCATATTTCTTTTGGCATGTAACATATGTGTGTGTGTGTGTGTGTGTGTGTGTGTATATGGATGGATGCATGCATGTATGTGTGTGTATATATATATATATATATATATATATATATATATATATATATATATATATATAATGTATATATATGTATGTATGTTTGTATAGATATATGTGGGTATGTATATACATATGCATTTATGCTTATATAAATATATGTAGCATGCATGTATGCTTATATAAATATATGTAGCATGCATGTATGCTTATATAAATATATGTAGCATGGATGTATATATATATGCATGCATATGTATATATATATATAAACGGAGAGCATTTATAAAATAATAAAAAAATATTGTGTAATAATTAATACACTTATTCTTATCTGGTGCCTGACATGTGCCAAATCACAAAACTTCAAGTCGATCTCTGATAAATATTGACAACTGAAATTACTTGTGTTACAATAATATCTATGTATATATAGTGTATGGCAGAGCTAAAATATATATTTAAAGTAGTTATATCCTTGTTCTTTACTGCATGATTCTACTCAAAGTTTCATAAACTTCTTATGGCTGTTGATTTCCACCTACTTTTCTTTGCACCCCAAGCAAAGTAATAAAACTACTAAGATGCAAAGGATTACTGAATGTGAAAAAATATGACTAAGGCGGGAGAGCAATAGAAGAACTGGAATTAAGAAGACAGAAAATAACAATTGCATTTAATTTTTCTCAGGAAAGCAAGAGAAGAAACTGTTAACATATAACATTGGGTTGCATCTAGCAATTTCAACTGTAAAATTATGAGACCTGACTGCCAATCTAGTTACTGTACTTAAATTTGTAAAGTTGAGAAATTTTGAGTGGCATTATGCAGTAAGAATAATATATGGGAGAAGATGATATATAAATTTTTATATACCAGAACAGTGTTAGAAAAATTTTTTGTGTGATGCAATTTGTCTTTTAGGACTTCAAGCACACACACACACACACACACATATATATTAAAATCAGACTGATGCAAGGCAGTAAAGTCACTAAGACACAAGGGGGTTCCAGGATGTGGAAGAATAAAGAACAGAAACATTAATAATAAGCAGAAAGAGAAAAGAGTAATAAGGAGGACAGCAGATAGCGATTGACATTGCATTTAAATTATTGCAGATTAAAGTTAGCTGGAAAGCATGGAGCTGAAAGGGAGTTCCACAAGCAAGAAGTGTGAGAAAAGAAACTGTTGACATAGAACTTACAGCTACATCTAGCCAGCTCAGCTGTAAATTGAGGAGATCTCACTGACCGTCTAGTACTGTACTTAAATTCAAAAAGTCTAGGCACCATAGCAAAAAGCTCATCTGTACAATTACCATGAAAGTATTTATAGAAAAGATGCAGAGGGGCAACCTTATAGTGGTGGGAAATTGACTGAAGCCAAGCCAACAGATCAGGACCAATAATATTGCTGATTCTTTTTTGGATCTTATCAAGGAGTTCAAGGTAAATAGCAGGGGCACTGAACCATATGTGGCAGCAATATGCAAAGCATGGACAAATGGTAGACATAGATATATAAGATAGATTCTGGAGAGAAAAATTGCCTCACATGACACAGTGAACTGACTTTCTTAGCAGCTAACATAGGAATGGATTCAATATAGTCTATCCACTTCTTGTCAGTTGTGAAGAAGATACAGTGAGTCACTTTCCTGGAGGTTAGCATCAGCCATGCTGATAGATGGCAGAGAGGGATCTTTCAGATGATTAATAGGGAAAAGTTTAGCTTTGGAGGTGTTAAAATTAACAAGCCATTTTTTGACCCAGTTAATGATGGACTCAAGGTCATTTTGGACATCAACTGCCATTTTGACCTTGTCAAACTGATCAGCTTTACTATCGAGGCAGGAGTAAATGGTTGTGTCATCAGCATAGATACCAATTTGAGAGCTGACGTCATCAGGAAGGTCATTAATGAAATTAAAAACAGAGTAGGACAAGAATAGCACCCTGGGAGATACCCATGTTAGTATGAATATATATATATATATATATATATATATATATATCAATTATAGATGCAATTTAATTTGCAATTACATGAATCATTCATACAAAAAACAAATATAGAGGTTAATGATTTAAATGGCGAGAATAAATCTTATTCTCTCGCCATTTAAATCATTAATCCCTATATTTGTTTTTTGTATGAATTATTCATTATATGTATATATATATATATATATATATATATATATGTATATATATATATATATATGTGTATGTATATACATATATATATATATATATATGTATATACATATATGTATGTATATGTATATATGTATGTATATGTATGTATATATATGTATGTGTATATATATATATATATATATGTATATATATATGTATATATATGTATATATGTATATGTATATATATATATATATACGTATGAAAGAAAAATACAGAAAACAAACAAAAATCTGAATATGAAATTATGTAGTATTAATGTTTTATATAAAAATTATCGCCGGATGTTTCTCTGGGTCTATTTAAGACCATCTTCATGGACATTTTCATTTAAACATAATTAACATTAGAACTTATAAAAATTTAACACAAAAGACGATGGACATAAGAGCCCAACTAATCCAAAAGATAACTGAAATTTTATACAGATCATAGTTGCCTTTTTAACTATGATCACGTAGTCACACGGGCTTATGTTGTTAAAACATATTCAAGATGATTTCCAAAAAATTTTAAATATTAAAAAGTCGTATTGAAAATTTTGTATAAACAGTTCAAGAAATCTCTTCCGTTGATGTCGGAAATATATATATATATATATATATATATATATATATATATATATATATATATATATATATATATATATATATATATATATATATGTATATATATATATGTATATATATATATATATATATATGTATGTATATATATATATATATATATATATATATATATATATATATA